TCCAACTTAATGCTGATGATGCTAGCAATGCATTAGCTGAATTGGCACGCTGGCTCAGAGAACACCCCAGCCAATTGGAAGTGGCCGAATTGGTGTGGAAAAAAACACCATTCATCAGGTTGGCGTAGTCATCCTCGTTGCGCATGCTTGGGAAGTTGAGAAGACAACACTGACATTGGAGTTATTCTGCAGTGTGAGGAGACAACATTGACGTTTGAGTTATTCTGCAGGCCTGGGTGGAAGTTGCAGGTGTCCAACCTCTGTTCTCTGTTCGGCTATTAGTGATAGGCACGCCAACCGTGGATCGACATCGGGAACAGTTTTCAGAGCTTTTTCAGAGCTTTTTCAGAGCTTTTGCCAGCTCTCTCTCTCTCTCTCTCTCTCTCTCTCTCTCTCTCTCTCTCTCTCTCTCTCTCTCTCTCTCTCTCTCTCCGTCTCTCTCCGCGCACCCCCGCGCCCCCCCTCTCTCTCTCACAGACACACACACACACAATCAACTATTTTCTATTTTTACTTTTTCTGCTTTTCTTCTTCTAATTTTGAAGTATTTACTTTGTGCAGAAATTCAACTCCAAAGGTCAGTCAGGCAAGGGTATCCCTTGACCCCTTTCCTTTTTCTAACCATTATGGAGGCCTTAAGGGCAAACCTGCGAACCAACCGTAACATTAAACGAATACAGATCTCAGGTATACCAGAGGAAGCAACTCCCATTACCTCTATGTTTGCAGACGATCTCACTGTCATGATGGAGACATCAGAATCAAACATGAAGGAAATTCAGGCTATGATGGAAAACTTTTCTCACGTGTCTGACATGGTGGTTAATTGGGGAAGTAGAACACAAGGTTGGTGGATTCATTCCAATGGGGTACGCCCTTCGGAACACCCTAAAGTTAGTTGGGTTCCATTGAACGCCCCGGTACGAATCTTGAGAGTCTCTCTTACAGGAAATGGTAAACCAACTACTAGTGATGGCTGGATCTCCAAACCAACTCTCGAAAAAATGAGCCAATGGAAAAATTAACATACCTCAATTTTTGGACGAGCACTCATCATTAACAATATTGTCCTTGCCTCAATCTGGTACAAATCAGCACTTTGGTCTATCAGCAAAGAGCGTACACATAATTTACGAAGACAAGTGTCACCATTCTTATGGCGAGGYAATCATGAGCAGGACAAGGTGATCCCAATAGTAGCCTGACTCTCCTTAATCCAACAAGGACGAGGGGAGGATTGGGGATTCTGGATCCAACTCTTCAATATCATGCCTTRTCATTGCAATGGATTAAGACATTAATATTATCTACAGACAAACCCTGACAGGTGCTAGTATTTAAACAAATTCGTAGGTTAGCTCCCTTGTGTCCAGAGATATACACCCCCTCACTTGGATTRAAGATCGTTATTGGACCATACCCAGGATGCAGTCTCATACCAGAGCAGAGGGGGTACGCGGGGCCACCAGAACTGATCTTACCTTGGATATTATGTGGACTTCCTTATTGAAGACATGGAGATGCCTTCYGTTGCCAAATAGGCCCTTTCCCTCTCGTTATGAGGAGATATTGAGGCAGCCTCTTTTTGGCAATAGATGGATTACAGACTTGAATAGCTGCATTTTTAACAGTTTTGTTCCGCCTTGGTCCTTGTGGGTTAAAAGGGGGGTACTCAAAATTAATGATTTATGGAATCGAGAGACCAAGGATTGGAAGACCGCTGATCAGCTGAGATCTATACTACGATATGCCCATTACTTATCTTCAAATCTAGACCAGTTTATTTTTTTCATGCCGTTAGTCTGGGTACAGATTTTGAGAAAAGGGTCAAAGATCAAGGAGGGAGATTGGGTGATAGGAGTCCAGCCTAATGGGCAACAGATGGCGGGACAAGTGATTCATCTAATTTCACAAGGAGCTATGGTGGGCTTGGTTAAAATTAACAAGGACCATCTTATATCACCGATTCACCGTCTCCTTCAAACATGGTAATCTTTTTCTTGATCACCTATATTTATCGTATTAAAGTTTTCTTCGTCTCTCATATTAAGGGTTGGCAGGCTTATAATCCTCAACTACCTATCACAAATCTCCCATAAACCCAGAAGACTGTATATGGCAGACCAACAAGATAGGCAAACCACGTACCCTGCAAAATATGTTGGTCAAAGCTGTATACCGCATGATCCGCCCTAAGGTGAATATTACAGCTATACTACAGGAACGGTGGGCAAGACACATCAATATTGACATAAATTTGTTCAAACCCATAAAATTCTTCAAAAACATTAAACAAAGACCGACGAAATTTGGATCCTTGCAATGGCAGATAGCCCACCGTTGCTTGCCCACCAATGACTGGCTGATTGATCACTCATCATTGGAACAACAGGGTTTCGCGTTACCATGGTGTACAACTTTTTTGTCTGCTTTTCCTAGTAAAAAAAAACAGGGAAACTATTGAACATATATTCATGCAATGCCAGGGCTCAGTCCTTTTATGGAGAAGATGGGATTGTACCTGGAGGGAGATAACAGGTATAAACTGACCCTGGGATTGGAAAACCATTTTGTTGGGGCATTGGGAACCCCTAGAGCTCACTTTATCAAATTTTTAAAATAATCTCTTCGAAATTGGCCGTAAGGCAATACTATGGGTTTTATGGTATAAAATATGTGTTAGAGAATATGAGAAGATGAGCCTAGACGGCCATGAGACACAAGAGCTTATTGTTCAATTTATACAAACAGAAATCAGAGCAAAGTGGACTGGAATTAAAGCTAAGTTGCAAAACCTTCATCTACAAAAAGACATTCAACAAATTATTAAAAAATTTAACCTGGACTGGCTG